ATGTGTATGTGTATGCCCATGTGTAGAGACTATTGTTACCAGTTTCACTGTCATGGTGCACTCCCCCACTGGATGAATGGGTATAGCTGTTTCACCCATGTGACTGTGTAGGCTCTTTGCCCTAATATGAGTTCTGTCCCCACTAGTTGTGTGGACTAAACAGACTCCCTGGGCTTGGGGGAATCCACAGCGGGCAAGGGGCTGGAATGAGGGGGGGCATCCACCCTCTGTGCCATGCAAGGTCTGTGTGGAATTACGCAGGGAAACAAGTTCTGGATTGATCTTTTCCAGTTGCTCAGAACAGCCAAACCAGGCTAGGATTCCTTCTGCATCACCAGACATCTGGTGGCACCTTAAAGACCAACAACATTTTATTCCTGCCTAAGTGTTCCCTGACGGAGAAGAATTCTGCAAATGTGCAGGAATAAAATGCTCTGGGAGGCTAAAGCTGTCTGATTGGGGGTCCCCCCCCCCAGCAATATACTGACATGGGTTGCCAGCTCTGGGTTGGGGAATTCCCAAAATAATTGGGTGTAGAGCCTGGGAAGAGCAGGGTTTGGGGAAGGGAGTGGCCTTTGCAGGGTGTAATGTCATAGGCCTCATCCGCTGAAGATGCCATTTCCTCCAGGGGAGCTGATCTCTGTAGTCTGGAGATCACCAGTAATTCTCTGAGATCCAGAGGCCACATCTGGAGGTTGGCAGCCTGACATGATCACCCCTCTGGAATTATTATAAAGCTTGCCAGTAGAGCGTGATGCTGAGTTCCTCTGGTGCAATAACAAACACTTAGAGAGGAGTCTACCTCCAACCACAGTCAGTTTGTGATCAACCCCTTTAGATACCTATATTCAACTGAAATAACATTTTGAATCTGCATACCTTTAAAATGAATTGCACATGGAAAGAAGAGGTGGGTTGGAGGAGGAGGAAGAACAATATCAGCCCAGCCTGGAGGGGGTAGCAGGAATTCGATGGAATGCCACAAGACCTTCTTTTCTCTTTTGCAAGGGATTGCCGCCGCCACTATCTTCAGTCCAAACACAGATGTGCAGATCTCTGAGGACCAGCTCCGCGTGGCCTTTGATGGGGACGCTGTCCTTTTTTCGGATGAATCCGAGCAGATAGTGAAAGCTCAGGGTCTCGACAAGTTCTTTGAACATGAGAAAGAGCATGAGAACAAACCACTGGCTCAGGTGGGAATGTAGGCCAGTGCGGTCAAGTGGTTAAAGAGTCAGACTAGAGTCTGGTTTGAATCCCATGTTCGAATCCCCACTCTGCCATGGAAGCTTGGGCCAGTCACTTATTCTCAGCCTAGCCTGCCTCACAGGGTTGTTATGAAGACAAAAATGGAGGAGAGGAGAACAATGTAAGTCACTTTGAGTCCCCACTGGGGGGAAAAGCAGGGTATAAGAGCAGTAAAAATAAAATAGAGGCCATCGCTATGAGGGGCTGTTGAGAGCCACTTTTTCGGTGAGCATGGATACCCCTGGCTTAGCACAGGAGACAGTGAGGATGGTGCCAACTTTGCACAGAGGCCCTGTTCACTCCCAGGTATCAGTGGTGTGGGAGGAGACTGGCATTGCCAACTGGGCTATGATTGGCCAGCTCTGAGATGAGCCCCTGCACCGAAGAAGGCAATTGGTCCCCCTTGCTTGGGATGCAAATCACAACTTGCTATTTATTTCGTTATTTAAAAAGGCATTTGCTGCTTTTCTGATGTTGGGGAAAGATTAAAAAGACAAAGACAAACAACAATAGATAGCAATGACTCAAAAATGTTCCCCTAAGGAGCAGATTAAAAAAAAAGTTTTTATAGAACTTCCAAAAGGTAAACAAAGGAAGAAAGGGAGGTTGTTCCACAGTTAGGGTTGCCAATTCCTGGTTGGGAAATTCCTGGAGATTTGAGGGTGGAGTCTGGGGAGGGCCGGATTTGGAATGGGGAGAGACTTCCACAGGGTATAATGCCATAGAAACTACCCTCCAAAGCAGCCATTTTCTCAGGGGAACTGATTTCGGTCATCTGGACATCAGTTGCAATTCCAGGAGATCCCCAGCCCCCATCTGGAGGTTGGCAAGCCTATTCTACTGCCTTGGTTTGGGCCACAGCTGCAAAGGCCCTGCTCTAGCAGCAGAAGAAGTTTGTATTACATGAAGGTGACTGAAGCAGAGCCTGGGCTGAGCCTTGAAGGTAGAAGGAATTTTGCTCTAGGGAGAGACCATCTTGAAGGTACAACCAAAACCCAGTGCTTGAATTACACTTAACAGAACATCGGAAGTGGGTAGTGAAATCTGCAGTGCTCCTGACACTGAATGGGATAGCATTTTGCTTAGATGCAGCTTCCTAGCACATTATAAGAGTCAAGCCCGGAAGTGACAACAGCTTGGGTGTGCCACATAGCAAGGTCCCCAGCCTGCTAAGGAGGACACAGCCTGCAGAGCAGACAGAGCTGCTGGAAAGCTGCTCAAGACACCTCTGACAGCAACTTGCTAAGGCTGAGGAGTCCCAGAGCAGTATAGATGGAGCTAGAAGGGCTTCATTGATTTTCTTCACCATAGCATGACACTGGCCAGGCAAAAGCACACATCTTTTACAATGGCATGGATAGCAGCCAAGTTTAAAGCAGGCACCGTGTGAATGCACAAATCCTATGGCCAAATGCTTTGCTTTGGTCAACATCACCTTTACAGTGAAGCAAACAAACAACCTTTATTGGCATAACAACCGAAGTTATAACAGGGAGGAAACAGTCTGAACAGTCAAGGCCCTGTCTGCTGATACATTGTTCGCCTCCTAGCTGCAAGGTACACAAATCTGGCCACAGTTTCAATCACAATTTGGTTCCGAGTAGATAATTAAAAAATAATTTTACATTCATCAGATTTCTCTGCTTGGACAGTGAAGCATAGTTAGCCTGCCTTGGGCACAGAGATTCTCTCTCTTAAAAAAAAAACATTTTAAGGGAATACAGAAGAAAAGAGGAAATAGGGGAAAGTGCTTAAAATATAATTACAAAAACACAATATAAAGTGCAATTTTACATATATTAAAGACATTTCTTGATCAAAACACACACACACACATATGTATCTATGTCTCTCTCTCTCTGTGTATATGGCATAATAGCTTAAAGAATATATGGCATGATATATATGGTGTAATGACTTAGAAATAGATATGGCATAATAGCAAAGATGCGATCAGCAAGACGAATGGGCCCGCCAACTCCAAAAGATCTCCCGAGGAGCCTGAAGAGAGCGGAGGGAAGATGCTGACCCGAAGCTGAGAAGCCGAGCCGAGCCGAAGACACGTCAACTGAATCCCACCGGGTGCCGTTAGGTAGTCCCGCCCCTAATATGATATATATATGTGCCCATAGATAGGGATAATTCAAAACTATGTAAGCCGCTCAGAGACCCATGGGAGGGGTTTGAGCGGGGTAGAAGTTGAAGGTAAATAAATAAATAATAGATTAAAGAATCAGTACAGCACAGAAATTCTTTAAATGGCACTAACCAGTTCTGACTTGTCTGGATTCACCCTCGTTCAGTCACCCAGAATCCATCAGCAAGGTCAGACTGGTGAGGCCTGATGCCAAACCTCTCGATGGTCTCTCCCTGTGGTTTCATTTAGAGATGAACAAGCCATGCACGCTCACAGTAGACTATTCTGTGTCAAGGCAGTCCAGGCTTCCTTCACAGAGGCAGGCAATGGCAAACCACCTTTGTTCATCTGCGACTTGATGGCGCTTCCCACCACCATGGTGGTGGCTGTTATGATTTCCCCATATATTCACAAATGCCAGAGGCACCAATTTGTTTTGTGAGCTTCAGAGAGGCCTCTTTATACTCCCTGCTTAACAGTTCCTCTTTACTTTTCTTTCCCAGGGACCTCTGAAAGGCTTCTTGGAAGCCCTCGGGAAGCTCCAGAAGAAGTTTTACTCCAAGGGCCTCCGCCTGGAATGTCCCATCCGCACCTACCTCGTCACCGCTCGTAGTGCTGCCAGTTCGGGGGCCCGAGCTCTAAAGACTCTCCGGAGCTGGGGGCTTGAAACGGATGAAGCCCTCTTTCTAGCAGGGGCCCCCAAGGGCCCTCTGCTGAAAAAGATCCGCCCGCATATCTTCTTTGATGATCAGATGTTCCATGTTGAGGGAGCAAAGGAGATGGGCACGATTGCAGCCCACGTCCCCTACGGGGTGGCACAGAAACATAGGCGCGCAGCACAGGGGAAACAGACCCAGAACAGCAAGTAGTCACAGACGGCAGAATGGGCTGGGACAGCCTTTGGATACTTCGAGATTAAAGTCTCTCTTGGGAGATGAAAAAGAGGGAGCACCCCCCACAACTGGAACCAAAGGTGTTCAGATAGCCAGTGTTGTGTCTTATTTGGCTACGCTGCTGGGAGGGAAAGCCTTCCTTCCACTTGTGTTTTTGCACTTTGTGGACCTGTTATTCTTCTCTCACCTGAGCTCCTGTGCCATTCACACCTCTCTCGTGCCCATTCTAGCTTTTGACACTTGCTTGTTGCTAAGACAGGCAGTTACTAGTTATTACGCTGCATGGCAAACATTTAATAACTTGTAGGCAATGCCTGAGGAAGTCTCAGACTTCATCAGCTGTTGTTTTGAACAGCAGGGCTGGCTATGGAGTGGGGAGAGGTGAGGCTGAACGCAGGCCCCGAGTCCCCCAACTACAGGGCCATTCTCACTTTGCATGGAGCTCTCCCACAGGCCGGAGCCCATGCAAGAGAATCCTTGGCGCCTCTTCCAAGTTAAGGGCCCCCTGGAAAGTGCCTTGGTCCTGGAACTGTCTGCAAAACGAGGCTCGTGGCGTACTTGTGGGGCTCAAAATGGGGTCTCTGTGTTCCATACAACTCCCTCCTCAAAGCTTACAAAAGCAGATGCAAAATACTTGGGTAGGGATACTTTGGCTTCATATGGTACAGGCCAAAGGAGCTGGCTTTTCTTGGCAAATACGGTATTCTGATTTTTTTTAAACACAGTGATGTGTGCCAGCCTTCACCTTGGGCAACTCAGTAGCAGAAGGGAGGAAATCCAGAAGCTTTTCCTCAAAAGAGGTTGGTGTGAAGTTGACTAGAAGCCAAGTTTTGGCTGCAGGGTGAAAGATGTGCATGGCGGAGTGGATGACTCCTTGTTCCCTCTGCTGTTGAGAGATTCCTGTTGCCTCTGGAGATGTAGAAGGTAGGAAAGACTGTGCACAGAGGCACACTGGATAAATCAGGGCATCTCCATAAAAAAAATTTACTTATAGGTTGAGGATAAATAAGTTGGGCGCAGAATGTCCCCTTGCCTGCCCCCACCAAATTCAGGCTGTCGAGAAGTTTTAGTAAATAAAAACAGTGCTTAATTAATGTGGTACAGCCAAAAAGGACTGGTCTTGGCCATCAAGAAGACATTAAATCTCAGTCCTGAAACTTACTGGGTAGCCTTGGATTAGTTACTTGCCTGCCTTGCAGGGTTGTTCTGTGGATAGGTGATGTCTATGGCACTCTGAGTTTTTTTGGAGGAAAGCTGGGATACAGATGTGATGGATAAATAAAACCTGGAATCTTTGAAACGCTTCTTGGAGCTTTTTGGCTGTTGCCACCTGTTTGGGTTTTTTGCACTTGTCTTTGAAGCAGTTTTGAAGGCTGTGGCTTGACCTGTTTGTAACTGTTTTTGCAGTTCTCCTCCTGTGCTCATGGGCTGTGCTGGAATTGTATTCCATTGGGTCAGTAACCCATAAAAAACCCACTGGTGGGGTCACACCAGTTGTCAGTGGTCACATCTAGGCCAGTATCCTGTCTCATACTGTGGACAGCTAGTTGCCCTGGAGAACCAACAAACAGGGCATAGCAGCCAAGGCCCTCCCCCTGATGTTACCTCCTAGCAGGGCTCTACTGGTAGCAGGAGCTCCTTTGCATATTAGGCCACACACCCCTAGTGTAGCCAATCCTCCAAGGGCTTACAGTAGCCCCAGTAAGAAGAGCTCTGTAAGCTCTTGGAGGATTGGCTACACTAGAGGTGTGTGGCCTAATATGCAAAGGAGTTCTGGGTTTCAGAGGTTTATTGCTGATGACTATGGAGGTTCCCTTTAGTCACCACAGCTAGTAGCCATTCATGGATCTGTCCTCTATAGATCCGTCAAACCCGCTTATAAAGCAATCACTGCATCCACTGGCAGTGAATTCCACTATTTAATAATTAGCTGATGAATAGTGAAACATTTCCTTTTGTCTGTACTGTACCTATTGCCCATCAGGTTCACTGGGTGTCCCTGATTTCTAGTATTTCATGGAGAAAAGCCTCTTTCTATCTTTTTCCATCCCATGCAACATTTTTTCACCTCTGTTGTGTTCTCTCCCCCCTGCCCCCCGTCATCTTTTTTTCTAAATTGGAATGTCCCATACACTTCAGCCTTTCCTCATAGGCAAGGTGCTCCGACGCCTTGATCATTGTGGTTCCTCTCTTCTCTACTTCTTCCAGCTTTTAGGTGACCAGAACTGTACACAGGATTCCAAATGCAGGCATACCTCTATACAAAGGCACCACTATATTGGCTGTTTAATTCTCAGTCCCTTTCCTTAGAACCCATGGGATGAAGTCTGCTGACATTTTCATGGAGCTATATCCACTATGGAGCTGCGGTGGCTCAAGTGGTTAAGACTGCAGGCTGTGGGAGGTCGGTAGTTCAGCAGTTCGAGACCCGGGTGCCGCATGACGGAGTGAGCTCCCATCTCTAGTTCCAGCTCCTGCCAACCTAGCAGTTCGAAAGCAAGAAATTGCAAGTAGATAAATAGGTACCACTTCGGTGGGAAGGTAACAGCATTCCGTGCGCCTTGGTGTTTAGTCATGATGGCCACATGATCACGGAAATGGCTTCGGACAGCGCTGGCTCTTCGGCTTTGAAACAGAGATGAGCACTGCAACCCTAGAGTCGGATTCGATTGGCTTTCGAGCAAGGGAACCTTTACCTTTACCTATATCCACTATAACCCCAAGATCTTGGTCTTAGCCAGTTAGAACCCATCTACATGTATTTAAAGTGAGGGTTTTTTCATTCCAGTGTGCACCACCTGACACCAGTACTGGATTTCATTTACCCACTCATGAAGGATGCTTCACCACCTGTGACACCCACCCAAAACTGAATGCCACATGGTAGCACTATCCCCATCTGTCTGTCTTTGTGTTGGTCCTTTCACAGTAACACATGGAGACTGAGGGGTTTCACTTCTGTGTCTATAAGCGGGCTTTTGTATAAATGAAAGGAGGTAATAATGGCTGTCTGCCCTTCTGGGTGTTTCCTTGGTAATAAAGCTTCCTCTGTTACCCTTCTTGCACTGTCAGTTTCTGTGTGTCTTGGGAACAAGCTGGTGTGCCTTTGAATATAAAGTCTAGGGCAGGAGTCTCCAGTGTGGTCCCCCTGGGCACCATTACTCCTACCAACACTTTTCTTGGTGCTTCGTACCAAGTGCTTTTAGAAAATGGGCAGGGCTAGGTAAGCAGGGCTTCTGATTGGCTCTGCAGATTAAAAATCACCCTGGCAAAAATTTAAAGAGTAATTACTATTATATATAACCTCATTCCTATGGCAGCCATTTTTTTGGTCATGCCCACCACCCCTTTGTCAGAAGGTGCCATCAGCCTCAAAAACTGTTGAGGATCCCTAGTCCAGAGGTTTAACAAATAACCGGGAGCTAAGCAAGGGAGTGATAGTCTCCAAGCCCTACGACTCCCTAGGGAAGAGGCTTGATACCAGTTTTTTCTCTCTTTGAGTGAACCATCAGCTTATTAAGGGAGAATATCCCCCATCTGTTGAGGATGGGTGAGTGGGCATCAACATGGCAAATGCGGTTCATTGTGGCCAAGTGCAAAGTGTTGCACATTGGAGCAAAAAATCCTAACTATAAATACATGTTGATGGGGTCTGTTGTGTACCTGGAGAAACTGCGCACGTGGTCGGGTCCGCACGTGGCCATGCAAACGGCCCAAGCTTCGCTTCCAGAGACAATAGCCCGAACGGATCCTAGGGCACGCCTATCGGACAGCTAGGATCCAAGAGTGGACCTATGGGACTTGGGTGCACTGTAAATATCCTATCATGGGTGTAGGTGGGTGTGGTTTACTATGGGGATATAAGCCGGCCTCCGGCCCAGCTACTCCATCTCACGTTCTCCATCTCAAGTTTTCCTGTATACAATAAAGTATGAGCTGAAATCACTCCTCCATGCATCAATCTCAGTATACTCGCGACGAGGATGGGATCCCGATGAGCGAGCCTGACTCTTCCTCCAGCACAGCACCGAGCACCGATCTATCGGAAGCTGCTGCGCTCCGCATCACTCATGAGCAGCACCACAACGCACACTGCTCCCCAGGACACCGCACCCCACTTCGTTCGAGAGTCGTGGCTATAGCTCTGGGACACCTCGAAGTCCTCGACCCCACACACCCTGAGTTCTGGGAATGGTGGGTAGACCAACTGACCAGCTTCTTCGCCTACCACGAGGTCACTGATGCAGGCAAGAAATGGGCCTTACTCCTCAGCACACATGGGGTGGCCACCATCTGCCTGGCCAAGGGCCTCTTAGCACTGAAGAAACTAACGGAGAACACGTATGATGAGATCGTTGAGGTCCTCACGAAGCACTACACACCAAAGCCCACTATGATGGCCCAAGCGCATGGACTTCCAGGCGCGCCTCCAGCGGCCCAGCAAGACGGCCTCCGCATTCATGGCCAAACTCCGTCAGCAGGTGGTGGACTGAAGGTGGAAGAAAACATCCTAACCCAATTTGTTTGGGGCCTTCGAGACGCCAAACTCCATTGCAAACTTGTAGGTACTGCCAACCTCAAGTTAGATGGAGCCCTCCAGATGGCCACCGCATTCGAGGGCTCACATCGCAACCGTCCGCCATCTTCAACACACATGTTCCCAGCTGTGGCGTCCAACAACTCGAACAAAGATGAAGTCTTGCTTGTCCGCCAGCCCAGCTGCAGGAAGCTCGTCCTCCAGCCCTACACCTAGAGATGTAAAATTTCCGGAAATTTTGAAGCTCGGAAAAAAACCCGTTTTTTTTCCGTTTTTTTTCGGGGGGAAATGGAAATTTTCGGGAAAATTGAAAAAAATGTTACATTAGCATTTATTTTGTGTTTTCTAGATTGAAAGTCATTCTGTTACTTTAGGAACATAAAATATGACTATGGACATTTTTACTTGGCATGAAATTAGCACAACTGGCATATTAAAAATATAGTGTATCCAAACAATTATTACAAACAGAATACCCACCCACATGCAAAAACAAAACTGAAACCTTTTTATTTTCTTCTGACAATAGCACCTCCTAAAGGAAGAAATGCATCTTGCATTGGAGAGTTCAGTTTGTAACCTAGGACTGGCTTGTCCTCAGTGCACAGAAATTAGATCAATCTGATACCATATATATATATATTAGAAATGATTTGGAAAATATTTGGAAGCAGGAACAAGAAAGGGAAAAAAACTAAACCTAACAAAGAACTCCAAAACCAAACAAAGGTTAGTGGAAAGGAGGGCCAATATTAAAACCTTTTCATAAAAAGAGGTATATAAAACATATATAGGGGCCCAATTACAACCAATATATATAAAACTTTTTTAGCCCTGGTTATGGTTATGTTTTATATATATTGGTTGTAATTGGGCCCCTATATATGTTTTAATTTGTTATTATTAATAAATACATGTACCTCTTTTTATGAAAAGGTTTTAATATTGGCCCTCCTTTCCACTAACCTTTGTTTGGTTTTGGAAAATATTTGAACACCTTGTCTTAAAATATTTTATTCATCATGTTAAAATAAAACGTTCCATAATCATTTTTTCTTTTCTTTTCTTTTTTCAATTTTTCCAATTTTTCGGGAAAAACCAAAAAATCTTCAGGGGAAAAAACGGGGAAAAAACGGTTTTTTTCCTAATTTTTCCGTTTTTTTTCCGGGCCTTCACATCTCTACCTACACCATCGGAAGCATCCGGACACCACGACAAGTCTGTTGCCCAAGCGCCGTGTGCCAGCTGCGGAGACGCACAGGAACGCAGGACGTGCCGTTTCCGTGATGCCGTCTGCTGAACATGCAGGAAGCAAGGCCACATCGTCTGCGCCTGCCATTCCCACGGGGCCCAGAAGACAACGTCCACTCACCAGCAGGACCTGGACCTGCACACGCTGACTGTCAACCACCACCACCACCAGGTACTGAATCTGCCCCCTAACGCCCCTAACAAAATGCATGTTACGATGTTAATAGAGGCGTCCCCCTGTTGTATGGAACTGGACACGGGCTCCTCGTTTTCCATTATCTCGACAGAGACATTACAGAAACTCTGCCTGGGGGGGGGGTGCTAGAACCAGTGCCGCACGCCCTCTGGGAAACCCCCATCGTCACCCCATTAAAACCTAATGGGGACATACGTATTTGTGCCAACTATAAGTGCACCATTAATAAGGCACCTCAAGACCACGCATACCCGGTGCCGGTGGTCAGCCAAGTATTGGCTTCCTTGGCGGGAGCTAGGGTTTTTGGCAAGCTGGACTTGGCCAAGGCCTATCAGCAGCTACCAGTGGATGATGCCTCAGCCTCTTGGGCCTGCTCGCCCCAGACTGCCAGACCCCCCAGATTTTGTTTCCCAGGGTGCTCCGTTGGTCCATTTTTCTCGCGGGCTACCAGTACTCCTTGCTCCACCACCCCAGTAAGGCGATGGGCCACACAGATGCCCTGAGCTGCCTCCTGCTGCCTTCCTCCGACCCCGTTCCAGCACACCAAATAGCCCTGC